TTCAAATTTGTGATCATCAACTTAATATGGACTATTAAAAACATAGATTGGGCCGAAACCGGTTAGGCTCAGTGGATAGAGCGTCAGTCTGCGGACTGAAAGGTCCCAGGTTCGATTCCGGTCAAGGGCATGTACCTTGGTTGCTGGTTCCTCCCCAGTAGGAGGTGTGCAAGAGGCAGCTGATCAACGTTTCTAGCTCTCTATCCCTCTCCCTTCCTCTCTGTGAAAAATCAATAAAAATCAATAAAATATATTTTTTTAAAAGCAAAAAACTAAGAAATTGAAGAATGAAATTGAATAAGATACAAAACAAATGGAAGTATATACCATGCTGTTGACAGGAAGAATTTACATGGTCAAAATGTCCACACTACCCAAAGCAATCTTATGATAGAAAAACAAAGTTGGAGGTATCATGCTATCCTCCATGCTATCCTATCTCAAAGAGTAATATGCAAATTGACCATCATTCCAACACACAAGATGGCCACCACAAGATGGACTGCAAGGGGGGGCAATTAGGGGTGACCTAGGCCTGCAGGAGAGGGCAGTGAGGGGCAATCAGGCAGAAGTGGTAAGGGGCAACCAGGTGGTTGGGAGCCAGCAGTCCTGGATTGTGAGAGGGATTAAGTGGGCAGTTGGACATCCCTCAAGGGGTCCCAGATTGGAGAAAGTACAGTCTGGGTTGAGGGACATACCCCCCCTCCCATGCACGAATTTCATGCATCAGGCCTCTAGTCTGATATAAAACTATTCTACAAGGTGGCCCTATCATAAAAACAGACACACAGATCAGTGAAGCCGAATAGAAATCCCAGAAATAAACCCACCCTATGTGGCCAATTAATGTATGACAAAGGAGGCAAGAATATACAATGGGAAAATGACAGTAAATTGAGTTAAAGCTGGATAGATATGTTTAAAAGAATGAAACTGGCTCACTTTCTTACACCATATACAGAAAATCTTACATTTAAGTCTTGAACCCATTTTAACTCTCAAAACCATAAAAATCCTAGAAGAAAGCATAGGCAGTAAACTTTTTGACATCTATATGTCTCCTAGGGAAAGAACTTTTGCACACTGAAGGGAACCATCAACAAAACAAAAAGACAATCTGCTGGATGGAGAAAATATTTGCCAATAATACATTCAATAAGTCAGTAATGTAAAAATATATAAGTAACTCATACAACTTAACATTAAGAAAACAAAGAAGCTGCTTTAAAAATGGGCAGAGGATATGTCTATTGGGTGACATATGAAAAGATGTTCAACATTTATCATCTGGAAGTGCACATCAAAACCATACTAAGATATAACCTCATACCTGTCAGAATGGCTATCATCAATAAGAATTGGCAATGATGTGGAGAGACTAGAACCTTATAGTGCACTGTTGATGGAATTGCATATTGATGCAGCCTTTATGGAAAACAATATGGAGGAGATTCCTAAAAAAAAAAAAATTAAAACTATATCATATGACCCAGCAATATCACATCTGGGTATTTATGCCAAGAAATCCTAATCATTAATTATAAAAAGACATTTGTAGCATTATGTATAATAGTCAACCTATAGAATTAGCTGTTGATGGTGGAATGGATAAAGAAGTGCTACATACTAGTATAGACAGTGGAATATTACCTGGCCATAAAAAAAAATACAACAGTAAAATCTTGCCATTTACAACAATATGAATGGACATAAAAGGTATTATGCTAAGTGTATGAAGTCAGTCAGAGAGACAAATACCATTTGATTTCATTTATGTGATTAATCTATAAAAACAAAAACAGAAACAAAGTCATAGACATGGAATAAATTGATAGTTGCCAGGTTGTGGAAGGGGGACAGGGCAGGTAATTGAGAAAGGTAACAAGATTAAGTACAAATTGCCATTTATAAAAATGCCAGTTATAAGAACAGTCACAGGGAAGGGAATATAGCCTATTATATTTTATAACTGAGTGGTGTCAGAATGGTACTACACTATTGAAATCACCACTTTGTTATATAAATGTCTACTCACTATGTTGTACACCTGAAACTAATATAATATCTTATGCCTACTATAATGGGAATTTTTTTTAAAAGAACCATTCAATGTACAAGGGTAACCAATGGATTTCAGTAAAGCAGAGTTCAGTTTCCACATTATAACTAAGCTTTAAGAAAATATCACTTGGTCAGTTTTGGTATTCTAATAAACAATATCCACAAAGTGTCTAGAAAGGCTATTAAAATACTCTTCCCTTTTTCAACTATAAATTGTAGTGAGCCTGGATTATCTTTATACACTATCCAGGGAAAACAAACAATAGATTGAATGCAGGAGCAGGTATGAGAATCCAGCCATCTTCTATTAAGCAAGACATTAAAAAGATTTGCAAAATATAAAGCAATGCCAATTTTCTCAAATTTATTTTGTTTTGGTTTAAACTGTAGTTATTTATATTACTTTGAAATGGGTATATTTCATGTTTAATGAATTAGTAAATGAATATTTTAGAAATTTGTTTTAATTTCTAAGGCAATATAATGAATATAACCTACAAAAATGTGGTTTTAATGTATGTTAATAATGCTTTAATATTAAATGTTTAAAATAGAAATTAAAAAAAAATAGTATCTATATAATAAAAGCCGAAGTGACCATTATGGCAGAATGACTCATCGCTATGATGCACATTGACCACCAGGTGGCAGATGCTCAATGCAGGAGCTGCCTTCTGGAGGTCAGCCACATTTCGGGCTCATGGCTGGGGAGCACAGCAGCAGTGCTAAGGAGCAGGGGGGCAATAAGAAGCGAGGGGTCCCAGACTGTGAGAGGGATGTCTGACTGCCAACTTAGGCCCAATCCCCATAGGGAGCTGGCTTATGCCTGCAGGTGAACATCCCCTGATGGGTCCTAGACTGCAAGGGGACACAGGCCTGGCTGAGGGATCCCTCCTCCCATCACCCTAGCGCACTAATTTCATGCACCAGGCTTTAGTAAGACTATATAGGGATCCTGAGACCAAAAAGTTTGAGAGTCTCTGCTTCCTTTTCTCTAGATTTCAGAATCATTTGCATGTGGCGCCCATTAGTGTTTTGCAGGCCACAGAGAGAGAGAGAAGGGCTCAGCTTTGGCTAAAAGAGAATGAGCATGGTAGAGCGTGGGGAAAGGGCTGAGTGCCTTGAAGCAGAGCCAAGCGACCTGGCCTGTGCCTCTTTGCCAGGAAACAGAGCAGGCCAGTGTAGCTGCTGGAGGCCCCGGGGACATGGAGTGGGATGTGCACCCCCGGAGGAAGATTCCCTGTGAGTTGTGGTCACTACTCGCACTGTAAACCCCACTCCTCTTCACAAAAAGGATTTAATCTTTTTCTCTTCTATTCAGTTTAACCAACACTGGACATTTTGTTTTTCTTCCTCGTCATCTTAACCTCCTGTTATTCACATGATCAAATTCCTGATGGAGCTTTCAGATGCATTGATGTGCTTCGCACTCTGCAGTCTGACCTTTGGCACCTGCAGCCATCCTTGGTCCTCGGATGTTTGTCAGCTGCCTATTAATTATATAGATTGTCTCTGCTCGCTTTCAGTGGGTTGAGGACATAACACTGCAGTAGCTGGAGAGAAGGGAATGTGTAGACAGACTGATTTAACAGACAGGGAGAGGAGAATGAGAAAATTGCTAGGGGAGGTGAACATGACAGTATCAGTATAAAAAATGCCCACCAGAAAATCTCAGCCGAAAAGCCACCTATGTCTGTAGTACTTTGTTAAAAGCGATAAGGGAAGGTCTGTTTCTGACCTGCCCCTGGCAATGCAAACAATGAAAACTGTGCTTTACTGAATATCTTATCTGTCAAGTAAAACCAGAGAAATCACTGGATAGGCACAAAGCAAATGTCTTAAACGCTAACTAATGTTCCTACTACCCTTTAGGCTACTGATTTTCATATGTAATCATAACTACTCATACTGACTGTTATTTTAAAGGTAATTATTTTAAAACATTCAAGCCCTATGACATGTTCTAATTAGCTGCTTATGTTAAAGGAAAATGCTGGGGTTGACCAAGGGCTGAGTTTGTGGCCTGTTTTGTGGAAGTGGTGCTAAGCAGGCTCATTGTGATGTATGGAAGGGCTTTTTTGTTTCCTCCATTGCAAACTAATTATTTTGACAATAATTTAGCGAGAATTAGGCCAACAAAAGGTTTGTATGGTCCTTTGGTAATTTGTTGCCCATTTCCAGGCATTCATCAGATTTTCTCTCTCCACTGATGGCACGTACATAATATCCAATAATAATTCGTGTGTGTAGGAGAGGGAGGTGCAAAGGAAAATAGAAATAACTTATGAATTAGGACCAGTGAGGGGTTTGATGGGCAATGGCTTATTTCCAGTTCCTTATTATTTTTCTTCAAAATCAAAAAGTATTTGGCCCAGTATAATTTGAGCCAATGTTAGGCAATTAGCATGTCCTAAAATATTAGAAACAATTCTTTGTTATGGGAAAATAACCTATTATGGTACCTTTTCCTGTGAAAATAATTCATTGGGACTTATCTATGAAGAGCCATTCCACTACATATTGACTACTTTTTTTTTTCTTTTCTGGCCAGTTTTACAGAGAAGATTATTTTGATTTTTAAAAAAATCCCTCAAGTGACTTCCTAGATCTCAGATCTCCTCATTTTCATGCTACCCTTTTAAAAAGTATTAACGAGCTCTAATTTTGAAAGTATATTTAAAATTGGCAGGTCCAAAGCTGAGAGCCTGGGAGGCACAGCAGTGTTTTACCGGGTTACCCATCCCTTCCCGTTTCCCGTGTTTGATGGCATGGGGGTTCTCACACGCAGCACCCAGCAGTCATTTTGGTGTTTGATTCTTCTGAAAGAATGGGGGGGCACGTGGCCCCATATTGAACATGCCTTTTCTTGGTTCTGCCATCACATGAACAAGTCTCTACAAACCAGCACTCAAGGTTTTGTTTGTTTTTTCCATTTTCAGGCTTCTGGCTGTGATGGATCTGAGATTCCGGACGAAGTGAAGCTGATCGGGTTTGCTCAGTTGAGTGTTAGCTGATATATGTCCCTGGAGGTGCCCTGATCTGTCATGCCTCCCTCACCGCACTCCCCGTCAACCTCTCCCTCCCCACGCCCTCACTCCCAGTTCCCAGCAAAATCTGAAGATTGTGAAGAGGCCGGCTTCCACGAGATGGGATAAAAAGAATTTTTTAAAACTTAACACTCCGAGTTCTGCTTTATTCTCTAGCAAGCCACAGTATAAGAACAAGCAAATGCCACAGCTGCACGACTGTTGCTCATTTTTCCAAAAGCTACTTAATATTCTTAGCAATTAATTCGGATATCCCTTAAGTGAAAAGAATCTGAACTATACTCAGGTGGTCCTATTTATTGGCAACAAAGCGAATTTTTTCTATCAGAAGCTGTTTCTTCTTTCATTTTTGTTCTGTTATACTTTAACTGTATATCTGACAATGCTGCCTCTTTTATGTTGTATTTAGAAATTAATATACTTATAAAATTAAGATTTATTAGCCAAACTTGAATTCTAGTTTTAAAACTGACTGTGAATTTTATTTTTCATATATTTATGCATTACACACCTTAGCTAGGAAAAGAAAAAAAATTTTGATTATATGCTTCTTGTAGTAAATCTCTTGTTATTTAAACAAAAAGTTTCAGGTCTATCTTTGGAGTATTTATAACTTCTGATTTTTTGAACTGACTGAATTAAGAACTAGAATGCTTCTTCTTTTGGTTTGTTTGCCTAAAAACCAATCCACAATTCTGATTGTCTCCTGGGAGAGGGAGGTGCCTTGCAAATTTTCATATGAAGAATGTGCCTGAGGCTGCTTTATTCCGGAACAGCCTCAGATCCAAAACATCCTCTACACACAGTGGCATCTGAAAGTTTTGCTTCATTGGAACATTTAGAAAGCTGTACAAAGTGTTGCCATTCTGTTAGATTGCTACTTCTGTACCCATCTCTGATTTGACTTCTCCTTAAAAATGATAGGATTCGTTGGCCCAAAGGTAATAAACTTGAAAATACCAGAATCAGAGTTTTACTTGAAATTCTGCAGAACACCCAGATGGAGTAAAACAAACAAATACAGAAAAGGTTTTGTGCAATGACTAAAAAGGTTGTTTCAAGAATAAATACTGTCAGCTCAAGTAGCCCTCTGCTGGGCTACTTGTTAATGTAACAGCAAATGTGGGATTTTCAAAATTGAAATAAAAACTTTCAGGGAGGTGGGCTCCCGGAATGGTACCATTTGCTCTTTCCTTGCTAACCCTAGACACGGCAGCTCTTCAATGTCCTTTAAAAAGCAAATATATATTACTAAAGAAAACAAAGGTCTTTATAATTGCCTTGTCATAATTAAGATGTTCTAGAGCCATTTGCATACAATTTAATGTAACATCATTCCATTCTATTGTTTACACAAAGATTACTCAAAGATGACTGCAACGGTAAAAGGAAAATAAACGTGTATTGCACAAAGAAACAGTGTCACATTGTTTTGTTCCTCCTCTAGGAATCATCTGCCCAGTCAGAATTAATAGAGCAAGCATGTCAAACTCAAAGACTAACACAGACCAAATAAACAAGTTTTACGTTTATGTAGGCCACAAAGAAAAAAGCTTCAATTTTCATAGAAACGTAGGTTTATTTCAAAAAGTATAGTAGAAAATAAAAAAGGACAAGAGCCATGATAAAATTAATGTTTTCTTCCTGGCACTTGGCATCTCTTCTCTGCTACTGTCTTTCCTACTTCAGGGGAAATCTGGTTCGTAGTGATTACTTTCAAAACTGACCCAAGATGAATGTCAGTCATTCTGGGTCTGACAGGAGACTTACGTTCTTTCATAATTGTAAATAACTGCTCACACCGTTATATTGGCTGGGCCATGTGAGTTTGACTTGCTTGAACTAGAGAAAAGTGTTCTGGAGGAAGAATAAGGTATCCATCCAGTCCGAATCAGATTTGACAAGTAAATTAGCCTGAGGAGAAAATGAAAAAAACATTCCCACTTCATGCTGGCTGCCTTTGAATTAAAACCACAGGGCTAAGAAGGTAGGATGATGACATAGGAAGACCCTGAATTCACCTCCTCTGACAGATGTATCAAATCTACACCCCCAGACAAAGCAGTACCCCCTGAAAAAGAACTAAAAACCAACTGAACAGCTTCTGCACACAGGAAGGGGCAGGAGAGATGGGAAACCTCCCTGCCCTCGCCCCCAGACAACCTGGTCTGCTGTAGGGAGGGATCGCCGAGGGGCCTGGGTACAGACTCACACACCCTGGGACACAGCAGACAGTGGTTTAAAGGGCACCTAAACAACAAGAGAAAGACATCTATTTACTAATCTGCCGAACTGGAGCGGAACTGAGGGAACGCTGCTTCGCCAGGGGCACCCAAAAGTGCCATTTGTTGCACTTCCCCTCCACCATGGCTGCTTGAGCAGGAGCATGATCCAGGTGCTCTGACCAGCTGGCCCAGGTTATCTCAGAGAGCGCCAGGCCCACGCCCCAGCCCCTGCAGCACACATCTGCTGCGGCTGCACCTCCAGGCTCCAGCACAGCTCGCCCCAGGGCCCAAGCATGCCCCAAGAACAGCTCGAGACATCTTGCTATGGCAACCCTGGCACAGCTCGCACCTGGTACTCCCCGTGGCCTGTTTAAACTTTAGCTACAGGCCCCGACAGGATTTGCCTCTAGGATTTCCTGTGGCCAAAGCTCAATCCAACTCCATCTATAGCCTACTGGCCAACGCAGCCCCCATTTGTCTCCTCCCACTCCCCACTCCCCAATCTCCCTGCAGCCTTTGCCCACTCCAGCTGGTCAGAGCATCTGCAGCTAGCCTGTCACAGATATAGAGCACATCCAATCTACAAAAGGGAAAGCTACATAAAGCCACTCCTTGAAGGCCTGAAGAGGCTGCTGTTTCATCTAATTCACAGAAACGGAGAGAGAGATCCAAAATGAGGATAGGATACATTTTTCAAGTGAAAGAAAGACAAAACCTCAGGAACAAAACTAAATGAGAGGCAAGCAATCTTCCAGATAGAGTTCAAAACAATGGTTATAAAGATGCTCAATGAACTCTGGAGAATAGATGAACTCAGTGAGAACTTCAACAAAGATAGAAAATATGGAAAAGAACCAATCAGAATTGAAGAATACAATAACAAATGAAAAATACACTAGTGGGAATCAACAGATTAGATGAAGTCAGTGAGCTGGAAGACATGGTAGTGAAAACCACTCAATGAAAACAATTCTTTTAAATATGAGGATAGTAAGGGACCTCTAGGACAACATCAAGCATACTAGCATTCACATCATAGGTGCATCCCAGAAGGAGAAGAGAGAGGAATGGACAGAAACCTAATTTAAAAAATAATGGCTGAAAACTCCCCTAACCTGATGAAGGAAACAGACAAGAAGTAAAGGAAGCACAGAGAGTCCCACAAAAGGAACCCAAAAAGATCCAAACCAAGACACATCATAATTAGAATTCCCAAAGTTGGAGAATCTTAAAAGCAGCTAGGTAAGTACAGGGGATTCTCCCATAACACCAGCTGATTTTCAGCAGAAACTTGGTAGGCCAGAAGTAATATAGTACAATATATTCAAAGTGATGGAAGAGAAATAACCAAAAATACTCTATCCAATCAGATTATCATTCAGAATTGGAGATTTCTGAGTTTCCTGAATAGGTAAAAGCTAAAGGAATTCATCACCATTAAAATGGCACTATAAAAAATGCTAGACCTTTATTAATAGGGAAAGTCAAAACAAAAAATGAAATATACAAATGAAAAAAAGCCAATAAAGGCAAAGATTTAGTAAAAGTAGTAGATCATGCAATTATAAAGCGAGTATGAAGATTAAATAACAAAAGTAGTAATATGTATCACTACAGTAGTACATTAAGGAATACAAGCACACAAAACATGTACATAAAAAAAAATAAATAAATAAAAATAGAGCCGAAACCGGTTTGGCTCAGTGGTAGAGCGTCAGTCTGCGGACTGAAAGGGCCCAGGTTTGATTCCGGACAAGGGCATGTGCATTGGTTGCGGGCACATCCCCAGTAGGGGGTGTGCAGGAGGCAGCTGATCGATAATTCTCTCTCATTGATGTTTCTAACTCTCTATCCCTCTCTCTTCCTCTCTGTAAAAAAATCAATAAAATATATAACAACAAAAAAATAGAAAAATAATAAAGCCCCTAAATTAGTAAAAGGAAGGAAATAATAAAGATCTATGAGGAAATAAAATAGAGCAATAAAACTAAAAGTTGTTTCTTTGAAAGATAAATAGATGAAACTTTAGCCAGACTCAATAAGAAAAAAAAAAAAAAAAAAAAGGATCCAAGTAAAGTAAGAAATGAAAGAGAAGTGTAAACGGATACCACAGAAATACAAAAAAATATACAAGAACATATACAAAGAAATATATAAGAACATATAAATACATAACAAGTTAAACGACCTAGAAGAAATGGATAAAATACTAGAAACAAAATCTTCCAAGACTGAATCAGCAAGAAACAAAATCTAAACAAATAACTGCTGATGAAATTAAATCATCAAAAGTCCCAACAAACAAAAATTCAGGACAAATCACTTCACAGTTGAATCCCACCTATCTTTCGCCAACTATCGATATTAACGAAAAAGACAACAATGAAGAGAAAGGAGAGCTCCCAAACTCATTCTACAAGGTCCACATTACTTTGATACCAAACCAAGACAAAAAAAAATTATAGAATAAGCAACCATAGACTAATATTCCTGAACAACATGATGCAAAAATCTTCAAGGAAATATTAGCAAAACAAATTCTGTAGTATATTTAAAAAATCAGAAACCATGATCAACTGGGATTTATTCCTGGGTTGCAAGTTTTATTCAATATCTGCAAATCAACATGATACATTACATAAATAAAATGAAGACTATATGATCATCTCAGGTTAAGAAAAAGCATTTGACAAAATTGAACATTAATTTATGATAAAAACTCTCAAGAAAGTAAAGAGGGAA